TTTCATCACTGAACGCCCGCACGGAATCATTGGGTAACGGTGACGTTTCATCACTGAACGCCCGCACGGAATTGACGGGTAATGATGACGTTTCATCACTGAAAGTCCATACGGAATCGTCTACGAGTTTTTTTGCGGCGATGTTTTTCTCGCAGTTTTCTTTCGCGTAACGCATGACGGACTAAGCGGAAGAGGGACTACTCGTAGTCTAGGAATCGTTGGGTAACGATGACGTTTCATCGCTGAACGAACGCAAGGAATCGTTGGGTAATGATGACGTTTCATCTTTAAACGCCCGCAAGAATAAAATGAGTAATGATGACTAAACGGGTAATTGTGTCCTATGTTTAATCGTTTCATAAGTTGTCGTGCTTATATAATTGCTCCCGAGGTAAATTGTGGTATCTCCTAATTTCAGATAAGACGCGTGCAAGGAAGCAAACTGTTTCAAGTAGGAAGACTGGCCTTTTTAAAAGTGAACAAGGAGTAAAAAAAAGAATGAAATGTGAGCGGTATGCTTAACTTACCGCTCATGTCATATAAAGAAAGAAATCAATAAGAAGATAATCATACATGAGGAAACAAATGCAAACTAAAATTTTAATCGTAAAACCAGGGCTGCTGTAGTGTCAACTATTTAGTTCAGTTTTATATGATATTTATTTTAGGAACAAATGATCGTTTACGGTGAGTGGTCGGAGTAAAGGATTCTTGTATCTACAAACTTTGCCGCAAACATTCTATTGGTCAGAGACTGCTATGCGTTGCTGATCCCAAATTGCTAGCTTCGATGAACTATGGGCTTTAAACTAGTTGTAACCTCCTCTTCGTTATGTTAACAAATTATACAAAGGAAACCGACTTGATTGAAACTCTCCAAACTACAGGTGCAGATATTGGCGTGAGAACATAGAATCAGTGGAAATTTCTTGCCCAAATTGTAAATTATATTTCGTAATTATTAAAAAAGGATTTTATAGACAAATTGTAAAACTTTTAAAATAGCAAGCAAGCAACGTCAACTGTCTGCTAATTAAATGTAAATCTGGTGGGCAAATATCGTTAGCGGATGTCCTTAGATCCGATTCAATGGAATACTCAGATATGAGCACAATACACTCTGATATTAATGATCTCCATTAAACAACAGTTTGTAAATTAGAGACCTCTTGGTGTTTGTTTGTATTTGAAACAACAATCTGCAGCAATTTAAAAATGGGATGAACTGATACGAACTGAGAAATCGCTTATTTCTGTATAACGTGCTGAGACTACACTGCATGAATGGCTCTTGAGAGGACCTTACTTGAAATCATTTGTACAAGGAAGCACAAAATTCGATTTGAGGACACAATTCAAACAAGCGACGGAACACAACCCTATTACATAACAGTTGCACTAAATTTACAGCTGCAAACGAACTCTCAACTGATGACGATCGTTGAACGATCGAAACATGCCTTGTTACAAACTGAAAGTGGTTGTTAACTTTAAAAAAAAAATACCACTGGCTTCAAAAGCAGACTGCAAATTATTAACAATTCCATTTTTTTCTCAAATCGCCGGTCTGCGTGTGACACGGATCCTCTCGATGGGAGCATTTGATAGTTTTGCAAAATTAACCTCCCTGTCGACTTGAAAATATGACCAACCTTCTAGTTCAAGTTCTCTAAGAATACTGTCTTTCCGGAGTTTTTCGTTAAGCGCTCGTTATCACGCGACGCGTCACGTGCCATCCATCTAGTTCTTACTCTGGTGAACACGCGCGGAGATATCGACAATTTCGCAGCTCTTTCCATTCATCGAGAGCACAAACAGCCTCTGCAGTCTTCCCATTGTTAGGCGGCCGCCAAAGACGCTTTTTTTCAATATTTTTCTTTTCTCCCGTTAATCCAGCCGAGGTGGCACGTATATCTGGGAGACAAATCACCGAATTGCTGCGAGACAAAGATGAGAACGTATTTCTTCTCGGCCGAGGTGTGGACTCATTGTCATCTCCTTCGAAATCGGATGAAGAAAACGAAGAAGACGCGAGTCGTCTTTTGTTATTTCCATCAATCTCTTTCCTTCTTGGTTGAGGAGTCAGTACTCCGGCCAAATTTGTTTCGCTGTTCCATCTCGTGACTGCATTTTCCATTTGTAAGCTGCAAGAAGAAACCGGCCTTTGATGCCCCATTTCTGAAATGATCCTTGACTGCCTTTGTAAAATATGCTTCTTTTTCTTGAGAAATAATCTTTCTCCTGAGTTTCTCTCTTTCTGCAGTAGTTGAGCCTCTTTCTGTAGTGTCGCTTGATTGATTGCATTTCGCACTAGTAAAGTTTTCGCGTTGTTCCTTGATAAAAGTGCCAGAGGTTCTTTTTTACGGCTCGCTTCCATTGTCCAAGCTGTGGATAAACTTTTAGATTCGGAAAATATCCGCGGAAAATAATGAAATATCAGAGGATTAATCACACAAAATCCTAAGATATGGCCACTATCATCGATAACAGCATGCCGTGGCAGGTTTTACGACCACTGAAGAAACAATATCTCGTGCACGTGCAATATATTAAAGCACTTTGAAAATACCGGCGGCCTTATTGGAAAGCCACCTTCATAACTGCATGACGTCAAATTTCATGTGTCTGTTCAAAGGTCAGTCATTAAACTAAAAATAAAAGGGTCTATGAATTGATCAGCAGTAGTTAATAGGACGAAATTGTGATATGCGCGAATGATTGCATCGAGGTTTGAGGAGTCAGATTTGATTAAGTCGTGGTAGTATGAATACACACTGAATTGAGCGACACGAACACGGAGCCATTATACCAATCAGTCAATTAAGTAATCATACTACGAGAAAGAACAAATTCAAAGGATATTATGAACTTTTGGATGAATAAAAGCACTGCAACGGTTGAGTTAGTTTTTAGATCCTCAAACAGAAAAGAAATTCGTTGAAGTGTAACAACCCAATATTAAACTGCGCATGCAAATGACGCATAAACTGTTTAACAATTGCTGGATATCGAAGCATGCGGGATAAACCAATCGGATTTGAGAAGTTACTTTTAACGCGTTTATTAGCTTGTAAATCGTAGCAAAAACATCAAAATAGTCTTGTTTTAAGTCACTGAAGATGATAAACAACATCTGATCAATAGTTGATTACTACATGCACTACAAAAAGGGGCTCGATCGTGTAGTTAGAATCAATACCATTCGACGCCGAATTCTGTGCATAATAACCCCAACAAAATAAACCACTTGGAATTTTTCAAGAGCACTCGAAAGGTTTCTTATTGAAGCCCCGTCCACAGTACGCCGGAGGCTAGGCGTACCGTTCACGCTAATCCGTCACGAAAACGGAACTTTTCGGAAATACTCTTTAAACCGAAGGAATTTGAGAACGCCGGCCTTGCGGTTTATGGACTTGCAACAAGTCGACCTCATGAGTTTCAGGGTAGAATAGCTAAGGACTTTTCTGAAAGTCCATGCGGTTTGGTGTGGACAGAAAACATTTTAAAAACGGAGCTTTTAAAAATCGATGACACCATAAAAAAGTGATTTCCCTGCCGGAGTTTCGCTCAAACACAAATTTAAAATGAACGGTGATTGTTGCGTATTCATATTTCCTCGACGTAGTGTGAACAGGTTCTTATTTTTTACCTTCGAGATATGATTGAAAGTATTTTCTTGCGTTCTTTCAACATCCTATTTATGTTGTTTATTGGAGGAATACGTGAAACACTACTTAAAAATAAATTCCGTCTTGTCGCCTCTTAACAATTACTCAGTGACAATTCCGTTCATCGCGACAGGTGTAAAATTAATAGAGACCTTTAGATCCACGTTTACCGCAAACGTCTAACTGCGGTTTGAGGTTAGACGTTTGGCTCTCGCCGTTCGAACGTTAGTCGATCTCTGAGACTGAAGTAAACTGGAAAGAACAGAAATCACCCTGTCAATGCATTGGAAATTATCAAAATGACGCCACTTTTTGTTTAAAAAAAAATTATGTTTTCTAGCAAGTCTAGTTTTCTTATGAAATAAAGCATCATAAAACACACACTCAGCTTCAGCCGCCGCCATTAGATTAGATTTCCATTTAGGATCAGTGACGTGCCTTTCTACAAACAACAACAAAAGGCTAGATAATTGCCTATTTGCTAAAAATTATAACCAATTCGTAGAAAAAAGGTTACTTTATTCGGTTTCAGCATTTAAAAGTGATATAAAATTTAAAATTTAAGGCAATAAAGCTTGAGGTAAACAACTTACCTGAAAACCTATACCTCTTGACGTCTGGTTCTGGTCACGCGACCCTTACCCCTTTGCCGTTTGTGGTAACCGAGGATCTATCTAAAAGTCTGTAATGTTTCATTAGTGACGTGAAACTAAATTGTTCTTTTTTTTAGTTTTTTTTTCTTTTAAGAATTCGCCGGATAGCAGTAAAACTCAGACTATTGGCCTATACAGCCGGAGCTTATTATCACGTCCGATTTCCGTTCTTGAAACGACTATAATATTTCTAACCTCCATCCTTCCCCAATGAGATTTTGTCAGCTTTGCCGAACACTGATGTCCAGTGTCGAAAGGAACGTACTGTGAGAGTCTAGCTCTCTCTTTGCGATCGATGTGTATCGGTTATTAATCAATAGTTGGACGTACAAATAGAATTACACTTCACTCAGATGTACTGACAGTGGATAAGGAGATCTTTTCAATTGCTAAGGCTGGGACAAGAGCGAACCGCCATGGTCGTTTGTAGCTGTTTGTCGTTTGTATCAGTAAGCGATTAATATCAAGTGCCTCGATACAGTTATTTCCAACTGATTCAGTTAAAAAACTGAAATGCTTTATTCAAGACTGCTTCAAATAGCTTCAAATCACTGACATCAGCGGTTAGAAATGCTAGCTCATCACATATTAGAAAGGGCATAGTACTTTATGCATGGATGATCACTAAAATTTAGAAGGAAAACCTCTCTCTTCCTCCCCNCCCCCCCGCTCCCTCTCTCCTCCTCAGAACCAAAACGCTCAGCACGTTCGTGCAAGAGATGCGTGACCTCGCAATATGGCAGCGCGCCAACAAGCTGCTCACTTCCCTCCTTCTGGAGAAATAAACACGTCCTACTTCAGCATAGAACCGCTCGCTACGTGTTGGTAATTCGCTTAAAAAGAATTAACGGTCGCCTGAGTAATGAGCCCGCGGGCTGTACATGTTTTGTCGCGCTCTGGGTTGCTAGAGACGTGAAAGGCTCTCACGAAGCGGAATAACCATAGCCCTGCGAATGAAGGAGTCACGGCTATAGAGAAGAGGAGTTGATCAAGGAGCTAGATTTGCTATCAATTACATGCAAACTAAATTATACGAGCCAAGTGGCCCATCAGCCGGGAGCTTATCCCGGTTTCCGTAGCATGAAGCGACTAGGAGTATTTCTACTCCCCCCTGGATGGGATGCCAACCATCACAGGGTTACCCCCAGCAGTAACGTGTCTTGCCAAAGTACACAACACAATGTCCCCGGCCAGGGCTCGAACCCGGACCGCTCGATCCGGAGACGAGCGCAATAACCATGAGGCCACCGCACCGCCCACACATAATATAATCGCTTAACACCTGTATAANTGTCCCCGGCCAGGGCTCGAACCCGGACCGCTCGATCCGGAGACGAGCGCAATAACCATGAGGCCACCGCACCGCCCACACATAATATAATCGCTTAACACCTGTATAATTACTGCTAGGTTAGAAAGTTTACTTCCCGATCATGGAAAACGCCATTCTATACACAGGTCGATCAAATTATCGCAAAGAATTAAGCATGGAAAGTAATATTATACAAGTCTATTTTCTGCGGTTTTGAACAAGTCAATCTTGCTCAAACAACTTGTTATAAATGTTTACAAACCCACCAACTCAACTTGCATAGGTGACTTGACGTCATTTAAATTCACTGTAGGTTTTGTGACTTGGGGTCAACAAAAGTTAATATTTACTTAGTAAATCCACCAGCGTTTTTTGTTAAACATATTTTGAACTGCTTGTTTTCAATGTTCTTACGGTTAGCTAACTAGAATTTTTAGTTTCTCCAGGTGATCCGAAGGTACTGATTTAAACGGTCTTTATAATTTACAAGGTGTTTGGAATGAATTTCTCCGAATTGAAAGTCGTTTTAATGTTTTATCATTAGTTTCTTCTTTTCTGTCAGTGGAGACGTCTTTAATTTCTTCCATTTTCTTGCCTTGGTTTCTTGGGAGTATGCTGTACGTGTCGGTTGGATTGCTGGTAGAGTGCAACCAAATGATGTCGCACTTCGAGTCCAAACTTGTCCTTGAATGGCTACAGAATATTGGACTGTACTGCTATGGTCAAGCAAAACTTCAGATGAATTTAGAGGCTTGTTATTCAAAATCATTCCTCGTTTTCTTCGGTTCTTCATAAAGAGTGCTTTGTCACTCCCTACCTCCCATTTCTCGGTCTCCACTTCATTTCTGCACAAAATCTTTCTGCCTAAAGTTGAATGTTACTTGAGGTGGCGGCGTTTGAATCTCTGGAATTTTAGGAGGCGTAGTAAGAGCCGTCCCCTTCTCTTTCAAAGCCTTTTTGTTCCTCTGATTTGGCTTTGTCTGACAGCAAAAACGTTTACCTTAACAACTCTTTCTCCCCAGCATTTCTTGTAAGTAGATATCTCGCAGTATTCCTGGATAAAACCTGCTCTGGTAACCCATGATAAGCGGCCATCTTTACAATTAAAGGTGGGCGAATGGTTGTTCCGTAAGAATCTGGCGAATTTTTAGTTCATCTCAAGGAATCTTTCGACTATTTGACAATGACACTAATTAATAGGACAGTCGAATCCTTTCCGCCGGACTTTAGCCAATTAACTGGTGTGTTTTAGAACACATGACGTCTGTCATGAGTAGGGCTGCTGCCCGTTTCACAAATAGCAGTTTTGATTCACGCTGATCTTGTGTTCTTGTCACAAATAATAATTACGATGATTGAAGAATATGTCAAATAAATCAAGTTGGCCAAACTTTAAAGCGAGAGTGTTCTTCAAACTACGTAAATGGAGAAATGTTACCATGTTAAAAACATTTCTTTGACGTGGTTGCAATCAGTAATGTTGAGTGTCGCACGGTTGGCCACTTTAGAAATTTCTTATTTAAACTCGGAATGTGCATTTAGGCTAAGTTAAGCTCTCTTTTCTTTTGCTAGTACGAAAGATTTTGACAGTTTGAGTGACGTGAACTGAAAACACTTCAGGATAGCAAAACATCATCTACTTGGTTGAAAGTTGTGAAAAATATATCAATATATCATGAATGTAATAGAAATGAGGAAAATACATCTTGATGGTAGCGCTTACAAAAGTTTTTTTTTCGAAGTCATGTTTAAGACAGGATAAAATCCATCTATTATTATCGTGTTCAAGTGTCTTTAAAAAAACCTTTAAAATGAAAGATGAATTCTTGTGGTAAAGATGAAATATTAAGACACCCCACATACGTAA